TGACCTGATTTACCAGGCAGTTGGAGGTAACACATGCATGTATGACATTGGTGTACAAACGAAGGCGGTGTCGTGTATGGATGACCTGATTTACCAGGCAGTTGGAGGTAACACATGCATGTATGACATTAGTGTACAAACGAAGGCAGTGTCGCGTGTGGATGACCTGATTTACGAGGCAGTTTGAGGTAACACATGCATGTATGACATTAGTGTACAAACGAAGGAAGTGTCGTGTATGGATGGCCTGATTTACCAGGCAGCTGGAGGTAACACATGCATGTATGACATTGGTGTACAAACGAAGGCAGTGTCGTGTATGGATGACCTGATTTACCAGGCAGTTGGAGGTAACACATGCATGTATGACATTAGTGTACAAACGAAGGCAGTGTCGTGTATGGATGACCTGATTTACGAGGCAGTTTGAGGGTAACATTGCAGGCATATGGATGACCTGATTTACCAGGCAGTTACATAGCAAGTTGGAGGTAACATTGGAGGTAGCACATGCATGGGCGACATTAGTGTACAAACGAAGGCAGTGTCGTGTATGGATGACCTGATTTACGAGGCAGTTTGAGGTAACACACTTTACCGCTGAATGATACCACTGACCCTACCCAAACACCAAACGAAGTCGTAATGACACAGAGGTACCATTTTATTTGGGCGACGAAGACTTTGAATTATGATACTTCGAAGGCATGATGCAACGTGATAAGCTAAATTGCTATCACAGGGTCTGACAACAACGCCTCTGTACATATGTACCCAGGGCGAACACTGCAATTTGAGAACCAATACCCCAGTACAGGGTACTGATAGTTTGCCTGTCTCTCAAGATATTAGAAATGACCTGGTATGTCATGAATATGCGTGAATATTCACTTGTATGAGAGTTGATGTTATCGTCGTGTGCATTATAGGGTGTCCATTCCATTTACACAAGCAAACTAAACACTCCAACCAGAAGCTTCTGTCTGGCATTGTTCTCCCCCATCACCATCCGGTTACATGCTGACTTGGGCGAGGTGTAGAAATAGATATTGCTGCAAATCTAAGCCACCCACCCGGCATGTCCGTGAAACACAATCGTCCTTTCCAAATGTGCTTGTCATTCGACGAATTGAGTTACACAGAAAATGTCAGTTTTTTTCTGTTTTTATCTGCATATATTGCGTCGCAGTAATCCTACAGATTCCTTGTACTAACTTCTCATATTACCAGACCTGCAGTCAGTGATTCTGTTACCTCCCACTTCCTGGTATGCCTTGCACGCCGCTGTAAGCAATATTCCAGCAACATCACGGTGTGAGTTTATGGGGTGGGGGAAACCAATTTCTCTACCGGTACAACAACCGGTCTCTCTACCAACTACAACAGCCAGTCACCCTACCCTCTCTACATGCTCCAGTCCTCTGAACATCGACACAGACAAGCTCCAAACACTCTCTTCCACCTTCTACATTAGTCAGTCTCTCCAAAATCTCCCCCCTACACCATCTACTCTCCCCCTACACCATCTACTCTTCCCCGTACACCATCTACTCTCCCCATACACCATCTACTCTCCCCATACACCATCTACTCTCCCCAATACTTCATCTACCCTCCCCACTCAACCATCTACTCTCCACCTACATCATCTACTCTCCCCATACACCATCTATTCCCTCCCTACACAATCTACTCTCCCCTACATCATCTACTCTCCCCACTACACCATCTAATCTCCCCACTACACCATCTACTCTCCCCACTACTTCATCTACTCTCCCCACTACACCATCTACTTCCCCACATCATCTACTCTCCCACTACACCATACTCTAACCACTCTTCATCATCTACTCTCCCCACTATCACCATCTACTCTCCCTCCCCACTACTGATCTACCTCCACTACTCCATCTACTCTCCCCCTCACACATCTACTCCTCCACTACACCATCTACTCTAACCACTACTTCCATCATCTACTCTCCACACTCACCACTCTCTCCCCTACACATCTACTCTCCTTCTCAACTCTCCATACCATATACTCTCCCTCCACTGCTCTGTCTACATCATCTACTCTGTACACGATCTACTCTCCCACAACACCATCTACTGTCATCTACTCTCTCCCACTCACACCACATTTCTCTCCCCACTACTCCATCTACTCTCCCCACTACACCATCTACTGTCCCCTCATCATCTACTCTCCACTACACCATCTACTCCCCCACTACTCCATCTACTCTCTCTACTCCATCTACTCACACTACACGATTTTACCTCCCCCACTACCCATCTACTCTCCCACTACACCATCTAATGTCCCCTACATCTCTACTCTCTTCACTACACCATCTACTCTCTACACCATCTACTGTACTCTTCCACTACACCATCTACTCTCCCTCCCACACGTACTCTCCCACTGTCTCCCCACTACACTGCTTCCCCTCATCTACTCTGTCTCTACTCCCCACTCTCATCTACTCTCCTCACACCATCTACTTCCCCACTCTCCATCTACTCTCCTACCATCTGCTCTCCTCACTACTGTCTACTCCCCACTCTCACTTCCCCACTACTTCATATATCTCTACATCATCTGCTCTCCCTACATCATATACCTCCCCTACATCATCTACTCTCCCTACTCCTTTCTCCCCACTCCACTCACATCATCATCTGCTCTACTCCCTACACCATCTACTTCTACTTCTATCCTGCTACATCACCTACCTCCCCTCCTCTACTCATCATCTACTCACCTCATCATCTGTCTACACCATCTCCTCCCCACTGCTACTCTCACGTCTGCTCCTCCACTGTCTACTCTCCCCCACTACCTCATATACTCCCTCATCTACTTCCCCACTACACCATCTCTGCTCCATCTCTTTACCCACTACTCATCTCATCTCTCCCCATGTGATCTACTCCTCCACTACACCATCTACTTCCCCACTATCATGTCCCCTACATCATCTATAACATCTGCTCTCCCCATACACCATCTACTCTCCCCCATGACTGACATACAACATCTACTCTCCTCACTACACCATCTACCTCTGGACACTACTCCATTCTCTCCCCGTCATATACAAATCTAAAGATAACATCACGGTTGGACAACTACATGATCATCACAACGTAACAACTACGTACAGACGAATAGCATCACGGCTTCTAGGCTACAGACGAGATGTGACAACTACGTACAGACGAGTAAATCATATAATATCAGTGACGAGTAACATATGGCATCACGGCTTGACAATGGATGGACAGATGGAATCATGTAACATCATGCTTGACAACTACATACAGACAGATAAATCATATAATATCACAACGTGACAACTAGATCTGGACAGACGAGTGACATATAGCATCACGGCTTGACAACTAGATACAGACGAGTAAATCATATAACATCGCGGCTTGACAACTACATACAGACGAGTAAATCATATAATATCACAACGTGACAACTAGATACAGACGAGTAACATATAGCATCACGGCTTGACAACTAGATACAGACGAGTAAATCATATAACATCGCGGCTTGACAACTACATACAGACGAGTAACATATAAGATCACGGTTTGACAACTACATACAGACGAGTAAATCATATAACATCACGGTTTGAAAACTAGATACGGACGATAAGATCATATAACATCGCGGCCTGAATAGGTACAGACGAGTACCATATAGCCAGTCTGCTTGACAACTAGGTACAGGCGAGTAAATCATATAACATCACAGCTTGGGTAGGTACAGATGAGTAACATTGGTACAACTAAGTAAAGTAAGCGGGTGTAATGTACCGGCTACTGACCCGGACGAAAGACCAGCGTGAGTACACAACGGTCCATCGCGGGTATAATGTACCAACTACTGACCCGGGCGACAGACCAGCGTGAGTACACAATGGTCCATCGCGGGTGTAATGTACCAGCTAATCACCCGGACGACAGACCAGCGTGATTCCATTACGATCCATCGCGGGTGTAATGTACCAGCTGATCACCCGGACGACAGACCAGCGTGATTCCATAACGGTCCATCGCGGGTGTAATGTACCAGGTACTCACCCGGGCGACAGACCAGCGTGAGTACACAACGGTCCATCGCGGGTATAATGTACCAACTACTGACCCGGGCGACAGACCAGCGTGAGTACACAATGGTCCATCGCGGGTGTAATGTACCAGCTAATCACCCGGACGACAGACCAGCGTGATTCCATTACGATCCATCGCGGGTGTAATGTACCAGCTGATCACCCGGACGACAGACCAGCGTGATTCCATAACGGTCCATCGCGGGTGTAATGTACCAGGTACTCACCCGGGCGACAGACCAGCGTGAGTACACAACGGTCCATCGCGGGTATAATGTACCAACTACTGACCCGGGCGACAGACCAGCGTGAGTACACAATGGTCCATGGCGGGTGTAATGTACCAGCTAATCACCCGGACGACAGACCAGCGTGATTCCATTACGGTCCATCGCGGGTGTAATGTACCAGCTAATCGGGGCGGTGGGGTAGCCTAGTGGTTAAAGCGTTGGCTCGTCACGCCGAAGACCCGGGTTCGATTCCCCACATGGGCACAATGTGTTAAGCCCATTTCTGGCGTCCCCCGCCGTGATATTGCTGGAATATTGCTAAAAGCGGCGTTAAACTAAACTCAGTCAGTCAGTCAGTCAGTACCAGCTAATCACCCGGACGACAGACCAGCGTGATTCCATTACGGTCCATCGCGGGTGTAACGTACCAACTACTGACCCGGGCGACAGACCAGCGTGAGTACACAACGGTCCATCGCGGGTGTAATGTACCAGGTACTCACCCGGGTGACAGACCAGCGTGGGTACACAACGGTCCATCGCGGGTGTAATGTACCAGGTACTCACCCGGGTGACAGACCAGCGTGGGTACACAACGGTCCATGGCGGGTGTAATGTACCAGCTACTCACCCGGGCGACAGACCAGCGTGAGGTTCCCCATTGTCTTCGTTGTTTGTCCCTCACTCTGAAACAGAAATTACCGAAACTCAAGTGAGTGAGTGAGTTTAGTTTTACGCCTCACTCAGCAATATTCCAGCTATATGGCGGCGGTCTGTAAATAATCGAGGACCTGAGAATCCAGTGATCAACAGCATGAGCATCTATCTGCGGAATTGGCAACAGATGACATGTGTCAACCAATCCAGCGAGCCTGACCACCCAATCCTGTTAGTCGCATCTTACGACAAGCATGGGTTACTGAAGGTTCATTCTAACCCGGATCTTCACGGGTTAGCAAAACTCAAGATGAATATAGGAGTAGACGAGCATACGAAGTGCAGTTATTTTGTTGGAAGTCAAAACGGCTTGTTTGTGAGGACATAGTACAGTACAAGCACGTCGAGTGTCCACCCTACCACACTACCACCCTACCACACTACCACCCTACCACCCTACCACCCTACCACACTACCACCCTACCACCCTACCACACTACCACACTACCACACTACCACACTTATGTGGGATTGTACGATGAAGAATACCCATACAGGACACGCAACAGAAGCATCAACCGTTCTCATTGAAGATCATTTTGTTCACCTATATTTCCACTAGGGTGAAATCTTGTGGTGAAAACCCTCAAGTTTCAAAAGTTCCTGCGTCAATATATGAAGGATCCCAGCGAGGTTTAGCTTTAAATGTCGAGCAAAGGTAGTCAGGTGGATATTTCTGTTTATGGCATGCCATATAATATGCTTCCAATACAAACTGATCAGCCTATAGTCCAACAACACCGAGCCCCGTAACAAAGTGACATTCACACAGAAACCTGAACTTCATTGGAACTACGACACAGAGCCAAATCAGTGATCTACTATAGTTTACTTACCGTAGCGATAACTGAAATCACCACAGTGGCCAGAAAACGTAAATGCCCGTCCATGACGGTGAAGGTTCTCCACCTGAGGCAGACCACACCGTCATGTTTACCGTGCTGCACACGGAGTTTGGTTTCATGTCACGCCTAAGTCATAGGAGCAGGATTGAGGGTGTTCTCTGACAAGGGCGCATTGTCTCAAGAGGAAGCGAAATATAATCCGCTCAGTATACACCTTCCAGTATCTCGTAAACCCTAGTCAAGCCAACATGACCGAGGTATGGCCAGTCTACCGGAACTCGAGGTATGGGTGATCATCACCGCAGTGTAAGTTGCCTTGTTTCAGTGATGTAAACGCTGTAAAACGGTGTTGTATTGATATTTCATTCTGTGTGTTGGTGCTGTTGTCATTCATGTGAAGGCAGTAGTGTGCTGATGACTAAACGTAGACTGGGAGACAAGATTGGAGTGGAAATTACTCGCCGTTTTCCGGAATATTAGAATGTAATCGAACCCAGAGAGGTAAAAACAAAATCTGGAAGCTAGGGTATCACAGTGAACGTCTGGTTCAGCTTGAGAATCAGTACTAGCACGGTATCACATTGAACGTCTGGTTCAGCTAGGGAATCAGTACTAGCACGGTATCACAGTGAACGTCTGGTTCAGCTTGAGAATCAGTACTAGCACTGTATCACAGTGAACGTCTGGTTCAGCTTGGGAATCAGTACTAGCACGGTATCAAAGTGAACGTCTGATACAACTTGGAAATCAGTACTAGCACGGTATCACAGTGAACGTCTGGTTCAACTTGGGAATCAGTACTAGCACGGTATCACAGTGAACGTCTGGTTCAGCTTGGGAATCAGTACTAGCACGTTATCACAGTGAACGTTTGATACAACATGGGAATCAGTACTAGCACGGTAACACAGTGAACGTCTGGTTCAGCTTGGGAATCAGTACTAGCACGGTATCACAGTGAACGTCTGGTTCAGCTTGAGAATCAGTACTAGCACGGTATCACAGTGAACGTTTGGTTCACCTTGGGAATCAATACTAGCACGGTATCACAGTGAACATCTGATACAAATTGGGAAGCACTACTAGCACGGTATCACAGTGAACGTCTGGTTCAACTTGGGAATCAGTACTAGCACGGTATCACAGTGAACGTCTGATACAACTTGGGAATCAGTACTAGCACGGTATCACAGTGAACGTCTGATACAACTTGGGAATCAGTACTAGCACGTTATCACAGTGAACGTCTGATACAACTTGGGAATCAGTACTAGCACGGTATCACAGTGAACGTCTGGTTCAGCTCGAGAATCAGTACTAGCACGGTATCACAGTGAACGTTTGGTTCAGCTTAGGAATCAATACTAGCACGGTATCACAGTGAACGTCTGGTTCAACTTGGGAAGCACTACTAGCACGGTATCAAAGTGAACGTCTGATACAAATTGGGAATCAGTACTAGCACGGTATCACAGTGAACGTCTGGTTCAACTTTGGAACCAGTACTAGCACGGTATCACAGTGAACGTCTGATACAAATTGGGAATCAGTACTAGAACGGTATCACAGTGAACGTCTAATACAACTTTGGAATCAGTACTAGCACGGTATCACAGTGAACGTCTGGTTCAACTTGGGAATCAGTACTAGCACGGTATCACAGTGAACGTCTGGTTCAACTTTGGAATCAGTACTAGCACGGTATCACAGTGAACATCTGATACAACATAAGAATCAGTACTAGCACGGTATTTACAGTGAACGTCTGGTTCAGCTTGGGAATCAGTACTAGCACGGTATCACAGCGAACGTCTGATACAAATTGGGAATCAGTACTAGCTCGGTATCACAGTGAACGTCTGGTTCAACTTGGGAATCAGTACTAGCACGGTATCACAGTGAACGTCTCATACAACTTGGGAATCAATACTAGCACGGTATCACAGTGAACGTCTGGTTCAACTTGGGAATCAATACTAGCACGGTATCACAGTGAACGTCTGGTTCAACTTGGGAATCAGTACTAGCACGGTATATCAGTGAACGTTTGATACAAATTGGGAATCAGTACTAGCACGGTATCACAGTGAACGTCTGGTTCAACTTTGGAATCAGTACTAGCACGGTATCACAGTGAACGTTTTATACAGCTTGGGAATCAGTACTAGCACGGTATCACAGTGGACGTCTGGTTCAACTAAGGAATCAGTACTAGCACGGTATCACAGTGAACGTCTGGTTCAACTTGGGAATCAGTACTAGCACGGTATCACAGTGAACGTCTGGTTCAACTTGGGAATCAGTACTAGCACGGTATCACAGTGAACGTCTTGTTCAGCTTGGGAATCAGTACTAGCACGGTATCACAGTGAACGTTTGATACAACTTTGGAATCAGTACTAGCACGGTATCACAGTGAACGTCTGGTTCAACATACCGTCTCCGTGGTGTAGTGGTTAGAGCGCCCGCCCGGAGAGCGGAAGGTCGCGGGTTCGATCCCCGCCCGCGTCATACCAAAAGACGTGAAAAAAATATGGTACTTGTTGGTCCCTGCCTGGCGCTCGGCATTAATGGGTACAACAAGGGCTGGTCGGCACGGAGTTAGTATAATGTGTCTGAGTGGGGTATTCATGCTTCACTGCGGCATGGTATCTCAGTGAACGTCTGATACAACTTGGGAATCAGTACTAGCACGGTATCACAGCGAATGTCTGGTTCAACTTGGGAATCAGTACTAGCACGGTATCACAGTGAACGTCTGGTTCAACATGGGAAGCAGTTCTAGCACGGTATCACAGTGAACGTCTGATACAACTTGGGAATCAGTAATAGCACGGTATCACAGTGAACGTCTGATACAAATTGGGAATCAGTACTAGCACGGTATCACAGTGAACGTCTGGTTCAACTTGGGAATCAGTACTAGCACGGTATCACAGTGAACGTCTTGTTCAACTTGGGAATCAATACTAGCACGGTATCACAGTGAACATCTGGTTCAACTTTGGAATCAATACTAGCACGGTATTTACAGTGAACGTCTGGTTCAACTTGGGAATCAGTACTAGCACGGTATCACAGTGAACGTCTGGTTCAACTTGGGAATCAGTACTAGCACGGTATTTACAGTGAAAGTCTGGTTCAACTTGGGAATCAGTACTAGCACGGTATCACAGTGAACGTCTGATTTATAGATACAGCCCACCCAACACTGGGGCTGTATATTGGCAAATATAACTTGTCTTGCAATATATATTGCGATCCAGTTGCCCGTATTGCGATACGCCTTGTGATATATTGGGAACAGTGAATGTTTGACAGTGAGCGACACTAATTGCGCATGTCAATCCTATTTTCTACATTATATGTCCCTAAACATGGTTCTGATAACATCAATGCCAAAATTAGGTTACATAGTCAGGGATTCTATTTTTTTTTCATACCATCTATAATATTATAGTTTACCGTTTCGTCACTGAATAACGACGGAAAACATTGTTGTGAATGAAAGTCTGTGTAGGAGGTTTTAATTCAAACCATAAAGATAATTTGTTCTTTACCCAATATAACGGTTCTCAGAAAGAATTTTGAAAAGCGACTTGAAAAGCGTATTGCGCTATACCGAAGTACCATTAATACCGTCCAATCATTCTCAATACTATCTATTAGTATTATAGGAAATTAGATTAAATTATTATAAATATTCAGGTACGTTTGGCCTCTGGACAGTCAATCCAAAATTATTTGAAAGTGATTAGGTAGTATTCTTTTATTTACCTAACGAATTCATTTTCATAAACCAAAACAAAATTATTCCAGCCTTTACTCACTGCCAACCTATTGTCTGCAGTGTGTTGGAGGAAATGGTTTGATGAGCAGTCTATGTAGTTGCTACTGTGGTGGAAACACCAAAAGGTCAATGCTTGATGATGACCGATCTGTGGACCAGGATGGGGAGGGGCACCCAGCCATCCACGCACGCAGAGTTCCTTCCCTTGAAGACACCTTTATAGCATGCGTCCTGGCTCGTCCCGGTTGTTTCTAGGTCGGTCCGTGCCATACCCATGACTGGTTTCGCAAAAATGCATACTGTCCGGCTTTCGTCACACGTGTAACTTATAAGTCATGATATATCTGGAATAGTATTCAGTACCTAGTGGCGTGAAGGGAGCTTCCATGCAGTTTCCTTAGATTTGAATTAAGGAAACATTGATAGTTATTTCAAACACCCACTTCGCTATAACATACTTATCGCATTCAGACACAAGAGACACGTGGACGCGAGGGCCTTTCACCTGGTCAGTGAGTGAGTAAGTATGGTTCTACCTCGTCACTACTGAGTCACGTGAAAAGCGACCGCGTGCTTAATCTTCATTGTCCCGTCAGCTTTCGAGGTGAGCAGACGCTGTTCAACTTCCCTCATGTGAAGATGTAGATGAACTCAGAACCTGGTTCATCTAGTTCGTTATTTTCTTGGTTTGTTGAAACCACGGGGTACACAAACTTTGAAGCAAAGTTTCACTGTACCCTTATCGACTTGAATCTAGTCAAAATATTGCATTGTCACCGTGCTGATCTGACACAATCAAAATGGCGGATCGCGACACGGATGAAACCAAGTGGTCCGATAATGACCAACTTGACAATGATGAACTCACCCAGGTTTGCAAAAACAAACCATCAGCAATCACATAGATTGATATTGAATCTGAAAGCAATGAATAAACAAGTAGAGTAGTTGCATTTTAAAATAGAATCACTGAATTCAGTTCTAAAATTGGTAAAAAGAAACTGTTGGATGGCGTCTATTGATCTCAAAGATGTTTACTATTCATGTCGCATGGCACAGGAACACAGAAAGTTTCTCAGATTTATTTGGCGAGGTCAAATGTATCAATACACGTGTAAGAGCAATGATGGATAACACCACAGCTGTGTCATCTATTAATCACATGGACACTAGCCATTCAGAAACGTGCAATCAACTTACCGAAATGATTTAGGATTTTTGCATTGGAAATTATATTTGGATTTCAGTTGCTCACATTCCTGGTGTAGAGAATATATCTGTGGACGCTGAGTCGCGTTTAAACAGGAAAAGAAAGAATGGAAACTAGATGAGAAATTACTGAGAAAATCTCTTGACATACTGAAGGTTAAGCCTGATGTAGATCCAGACCCAAATGCTTTTGCTATTGATGCATTATCACTAACTTGGTCATGTTTTGATTGAACTTGGTCATGTTTTGATTGAACTTGGTCATGCTTTGATTGAACTTGGTCATGCTTTGATTGCGTCAACATAATTCCTCCTTTCAGTGTCCTGACTCAAACCCTTCAGAAGATGGACCGGAACGGGGTACCGGGTGTGGTGGTTGCACCTTACTGGACCGGGACGGGGCACCGGGTGTGGTGGTTGCACCTTACTGGACCGGGACGGGGTACCGGGTGTGGTGGTTGCACCCTACTGGACCGGGACGGGGCACCGGGTGTGGTGGTTGCACCCTACTGGACCGGGACGGGGCACCGGGTGTGGTGGTTGCACCCTACTGGACCGGGACGGGGCAAAGGGTGTGGTGGTTGCACCTTACTGGACCGGGACGGGGCACCGGATGTGGTGGTTGCACCTTACTGGACCGGGACGGGGTAACGGGTGTGGTGGTTGCACCCTACTGGACCGGGACGGGGCACCGGGTGTGGTGGTTGCACCCTACTGGACTGGGACGGGGCACCGGGTGTGGTGGTTGCACCCTACTGGACCGGGACGGGGCAAAGGGTGTGGTGGTTGCACCTTACTGGACCGGGACGGGGCACCGGGTGTGGTGGTTGCACCCTACTGGACCGGGACGGGGCACCGGGTGTGGTGGTTGCACCCTTCTGGACCGAGACGGGGCACCGGGTGTGGTGGTTGCACCCTACTGGACCGGGACGGGGCACCGGGTGTGGTGGTTGCACCCTACTGGACCGGGACGGGGCACCGGGTGTGGTGGTTGCACCCTACTGGCCAACCAAGGTTTGGTTCCCGATGTTGATCTGCCTTCTGATCGACGATCCCTTGATCCTTCCCAGATGGGAAATCCCTTCTTTGCCTAGTGAAACAGCCAGCAGAGATTCACCTGATGCACAGGACACCGCAGTTAATGATGTGCCACTTGTCAGGAAATCCTTGTGCGAGATACACCTATCTCGGAACGCTGGAGGAATCATCAAGTGTTGGAGGAAAGGCACACAAAAGCAGTACAAGTCTTACCTTACCAGGTGGGAAATTTATTGTGATTCAAGGCAGATTAATCTGTTTACACTATGTCTAGAGGATGGGATTAACTTTCTACCAGATCTAGCATATGATGGATTGGGCTATAGTGCAGTGAATACAGCCCGCAGTGCTTTATCTTCAGTGATATCACTCCCTGATGGTGTTTCATTTGGAGAACATTTCTTGGTTAAAAAAGTTTTATAAGGAGTTTTTGAAATGAAACCGTCTCATCCACGCCATGGTTTAATTTGGGATGTGGACATTGTTTTGAATCATCATCATTTTGAGTCTCCAGCTGTGAAACTAGGCCTCAACGAGTTAACCCTCAAGACAGTGATGTTGTTAGCTTTATTGACTGGACAAAGGTGTCAAACATTCCATTCTTTGGATATCAACAGTATGCAAACATCTGCCTCAACGTGTGTGTTTCATGTGAACTCTAGAACCAACACTTTCAGTAAATATTACAAGAAATCGGCTAAGACAACCACACCAAACTTTGGTGATTTTATTTTATCTTCAGTTAAACCAAAGCATTAAGTGCATTTAAGGTGAGTTTATCAATAACATTGTAATTTATGTCTGTAATACATCAGATTGTGATTCGATGTAACAAGTGTTCCTCCGTTCTTTCAATTACACAGTTTTAACACGATGGAACTTGTTATTTCTGTTCATGGACACAGCTTTGAGGTCTTACCTGACTCCGTAGTGACCTCATATTATGACGAGGTAGAATTGAAAAGCCAAACGAGACTTACATGTAAGGTGAATTTTGATTGTAGTTCAGGAATGGAGGAGTCATGAGGAGTCATGAGTATGTTGTGATGGATGTGTGTACATTCACAGCTTTACAAAAATGAAGATTAAGCACGCGGTCGCTTCTCACATGCCTCCTCTGTGTATTGGGGAATCGAACCCGGATCTTCAGCGTGACGAGCGTGCAGGGAAGGAACAAGAACTTATCACTTCAGTTTTGCTGGCATTTGCCACTCTTCATGTGTTGGGACAGACGCGCCATTGTGTGACCCTACAAGTGTAGATACTTCATCTCAATATAACAGTAAGACTCCTGCGTGCAGGATGTGGAGCTGGTTGTGTTTTCTTGGAGCTGCTTATATTGGAGTTGAAACATGTAAAGAGTAAGTATGTGTTCAAAGTGTCACAGCAGAAAAGAACTGAATCATCAAGGTCACCAACTTTATGGCCAGCCATGTTTCTCAACCAGTCAAAACAACTTTACAACTACAAAACTACTACTATAACTGCTAATACTACTTCTTTCTATTCTTTCTGTTTTAGTGTATATTCTACACTGAAAACACAAAACATTCGCCATGCTATTTGGAAATGCCATGCAGCAAGACAGAATAATGGCCGAATGATATAATTCCTTTGTATGATTTCCCCTTCCTGGTAGGGGCCATTGGGACGAAACAAAGCAAGAACAAGACACGCTAACACACATCCAACGAGTCGGGCAATGTCAACTGATGTAATCATAATGATCTGAAATCTTTGGACTCCACAAAGTCGAGTTTGAAATTTACGAACAAGGGAAGCAATGCGATAAAATGAAGCAACATTTTCAGAAATTAGTTTTCCAAAATGTCAATGCTTATATTTCGTAAAGAGTTTCACTTCCCTACAGGACACCGCACACCCTAGTTTTTCAGCAACCCATGCTGGTCGTAAGAGACGACTAACGGGATCGGGTAATCGGGCTCGCCGACTTGTTGACACATGTCATCAAATTCCAACTGTAGATCGATGCTCATGCTGTTGATCACTGGATTGTCTGGCTCGGACTGGATTATTTACAGACCGCAGCCATATAACTAGATTACAGCTGATTGCGGCGTCAAACAACAAGCAGTCCTATGTAACTTGCTGTATTACGTAATGTACCATGAGACGTGTATCGTGTCTTTGTTGTACGTAATGTACCATGATACGTGTATCGTGTCTATGTTGTACGTAATGTACCATGAGACGTGTATCGTGTCTATGTTGTAAGTATCCTCTGTAATGTACAATGAGACGTGTATCGTGTCTATGTTGTAAGTATCCTCTGTAATGTACCATGAGACGTGTATCGTGTCTATGTTGTAAGTATCCTCTGTAATGTACCATGAGACGTGTATCGTGTCTATGTTGTAAGTATCCTCTGTAATTTACCATGAGACGTGTATCGTGTCTATGTTGTAAGTATCCTCTGTAATGTACCATGAGATGTGTATCGTGTCTTTGTTGTAAGTATCCTCTGTAATGTACCATGAGACGTGTATCGTGTCTTTGTTGTAAGTATCCTCTGTAATGTACCATGAGACGTGTATCGTGTCTATGTTGTAAGAATCCTCGGTAATGGATCATGAGACGTGTATCGTGTCTTTGTTGTAAGTATCCTCTGTAATGTACCATGAGACGTATATCGTGTCTTTGTTGTAAGTATCCTCTGTAATGTACCATGAGACGTATATCGTGTCTATGTTGTAAGAATCCTCTGTAATGTACCATGAGACGTGTATCGTGTCTATGTTGTAAGTATCCTCGGTAATGTACCATGAGACGTGTATCGTGCTATGTTGTAAGTATCCTCTGTAATTTACCATGAGACGTGTATCGTGTCTATGTTTTAAGTATCCTCTGTAATGTACAATGAGACGTATATCGTGTCTATGTTGTAAGAATCCTCTGTAATGTACCATGAGACGTGTATCGTGTCTATGTTTTAAGTATCCTCTGTAATTTACCATGAGACGTGTATCGTGTCTATGTTGTAAGTATCCTCTGTAATGTACCATGGGACGTGTATCGTGTCTATGTGTTGTAAGTATCTCTGTAATGTACCATGAGACGTGTATCGTGTCTTTGTTGTAAGTATCCTCTGTAATGTACCATGAGACGTGTATCGTGTCTATGTTGTAAGTATCCTCTGTAATGTACCATGAGACGTGTATCGTGTCTATGTTGTAAGTATCCTCTGTAATGGATCATGAGACCTGTATCGTGCTATGTTGTAAGTATCCTCTGTAATTTACCATGATACGTACCGTATCGTGTATCGTGTCTATGTTTTAAGTATCCTCTGTAATGTACCATGAGACGTATATCGTGTCTATGTTGTAAGAATCCTCTGTAATGTACCATGAGACGATGTATCGTGTCTTTGTTGTAAAGTATCCTCTGTAATGTACCATGAGACGTGTATCGTGTCTATGTTGTAAAGTATCCTCTGTAATTTACCATGAGACGTGTATCGATGTCTATGTTGTAAGTATCCTCTGTAATCTACCATGAGATGTGTATCGTGTCTTTGTTGTAAGTATCCTCTGTAATGTACCATGAGACGTGTATCGTGTCTATGTTGTAAGTATCCTCTGTAATGGATCATGAGACGTGTATCGTGTCTTTGTTGTAAGTATCCTCTGTAATGTACCATGAGACGTGTATCGTGTCTATGTTTGTAAGTATCCTCTGTAATGTACCATGAGACGTATATCGTGTCTATGTTGTAGAATCCTCTGTAATGTACCATGAGACGTGTATCGTGTCTATGTTGTAAGTATCCTCTGTAATGGATCATGAGACGTGTATCGTGCTATGTTGTAAAGTATCCTCTGTAATTTACCATGATACGTGTATCGTGTCTATGTTTTAAGTATCCTCTGTAATGTACCATGGGACGTATATCGTGTCTATGTTGTAAGAATCCTCTGTAATGTACCATGAGACGTGTATCGTGTCTATGTTTGTAAGTATCCTCTGTAATGTACCATGAGACGTGTATCGTGTCTATGTTGTAAGTATCCTTGGTAATGTACCATGGGACGTATATCGTGTCTATGTTGTAAGAATCCTCTGTAATGTACCATGAGACGTGTATCGTGTCTATGTTGTAAGTATCCTCTGTAATGTACCATGAGACATTATATCGTGTCTATGTTGTAAGAATCCTCTGTAATGTACCATGAGGACGTGTATCGTGTCTATGTTGTAAGTATCCTCTGTAATGGATCATGAGACGTGTATCGTGCTATGTTGTAAGTATCCTCTGTAATTTACCATGATACGTGTATCGTGTCTATGTTTTAAGTATCCTCTGTAATGTACCATGAGACGTATATCGTGTCTATGTTGTAAGAATACTCTGTAATGTACCATGAGACGTGTATCGTGTCTATGTTGTAAGTATCCTCTGTAATGGATCATGAGACGTGTATCGTGCTATGTTGTAAGTATCCTCTGTAATTTACCATGAGACGTGTATCGTGTCTATGTTGTAAGTATCCTCTGTAATGTACCATGAGACGTGTATCGTGTCTATGTTGTAAGAATCCTCTGTAATGTACCATGAGACGTGTATCGTGTCTATGTTGTAAGTATCCTCTGTAATGTACCATGAGACGTGTATCGTGTCTATGTTGTAAGTATCCTCTGTAATGTACCATGAGACGTGTATCGTGTCTTTGTTGTAAGTATCCTCTGTAATGTACCATGAGACGTGTATCGTGTCTATGTTGTAAGTATCCTCTGTAATGTACCATGAGACGTGTATCGTGTCTATGTTGTAAGTATCCTCTGTAATGGATCATGAGACGTGTATCGTGTCTTTGTTGTAAGTATCCTCTGTAATGTACCATGAGACGTATATCGTGTCTATGTTGTAAGTATCCTCGGTAATGTACCATGAGACGTATATCGTGTCTATGTTGTAAGAATCCTCTGTAATGTACCATGAGACGTGTATCGTGTCTATGTTGTAAGTATCCTCTGTAATGGATCATGAGACGTGTATCGTGTCTATGTTGTAAGTATCCTCTGTAATGTACCATGA